GCCGACGCACTGTAATCAATCGTAATAGTTGGGTGATTGCGGGGAACTTTGGAGAACCCCGACAATGTCATTATTGTCACACGCGGTGTTCAAGTTCAAGGCGAGAGTTGAGGGGCGGAGCAGGGCAGTGGGTGGTTGGCGGGTGCTCTGGTGTAGTTTGCTCCTTCTTTCCTATCAAACATCTTATTGTCCTAATCTCCCCTTCTTCTTTTTTATGTTTGTTACTCTCTTGTAACACCTCTAATCTTCTGGCGCTCATATTATGACCTAAATATGCTGTTGCGAGTGCCGTAAAACACTAACTAAAACTAAAAGGAGCAGGAAGGACTGAGAAACCAAGCGGGTAGCGTAAATTCCAGCCGTTTTTTGTTGTTGTTTTGTTGTTGTCGTTTTTTTTTCGTTTTTTATGGGTTTTTTTATTTGTTTTTTTTTGTTTGGAGGGTGCATTTTGATTGATTGAGTAGGTGTTTTACCGCACTATCGACTATCGTTGGTCATTTAAGTGCCAATAGGGCCCTTTTTTGGTACCGATTCTCCTTTAGTACCATACATTATGTGTACAGAGTAATAACAAAGATCGTGTATAACAAGATAGTTCACTCCTCTCTTTGAACCAATTAAAAAGTGTCCTCGAAATCCGGTGGCGCCCTCTTTGAAAAAGCGCCCGCTCTGCTAACAGAGTTACCCTTGACCTACTTGTGTGAAAAACAATAAAAGCGAAACTAACAAACTGTGCTATTCCTATTCTTCTTCTGGAGAAACGAAAGAGAACTTCACAACAAAGACTGCAGCGCCATCTGAAGCAATGCACGGACTTGCCCGGACATTTTTTCGGCCGAGTGAACTATCTTGTTATGAACGATCTTTGATTACATTATGCGTGGGCCTGACCGAGTAAATATTACAAGGTCTCATCCATTCGCGCCATATATCGAGCCTTTTTGTAAAAGGGGGGGGGGGGTCATTATTTTGTTTTCCGATGTCATATCAATGTGTAAATCAAAATGTTTTTTTTTTAAATCGAAAACAAGTCCTGGTAAATTGTTGGCACAGTCCATGTGAACAAAATCCACCTATTCAGCCACACCAGGTAGGCCTATCCGATACAACAGCTATTTCCAGGGTGCCTTGATAGTCGAAGCAGAATTTGTGCTGTTGGGGCTAGTGAGGTGAGCAGTGTAAGCCTAATCCCCCATTTGGACTTCTCTGTTGACACCCACCCCTTGGCGCTCATATTATGACATTATGCAGCTTCGAGCGCCATAAAACCTTACTAAAACAACAACAAAAAACTCTAAATACTAAAACTAAAAGTACACTACAAAGTTGTCGGAGACTGTATACTATAATAATGGCGTGGGTGGCCTAGTGGCTAGGCTCTCGGACTCGCAACCGTAAGGTCGTGGGTTCGAATCCCGTCAG